TATATATAGAGAGAGATCTATCTATATATTTTTCCAAACCTCATAGGATCATCAATGTCAATAATATTGATCAATGACTGAATTAAGCAAATAACCTACCTGTGGCTGAGTCTGAAGATTGAAGAGAAGACATATCCAAAGCAGTAGCCTATCAAAGGCATGAGACCAGCGATGGCCAAGAGTGAAGGAGACAGCACAGTCAGGATGTGGCGTCCGTTTGCAATAGTGGTTAAGGTCAAAGTCACCACAGTAAAAATCAGCAAGATAATGATGCCTACCTAACAACAGCAACAAGAGGGGGAATAAATCAGTGTTTGACTTCTCTTTTGGTTCTATGTTGCTCAAAAAATTAAAGGAACATTTTTCAGAGTATAGCATCAAGTAAATTAAACTTCTGGGATATTGATCTGGTCAGTTAAGTAGCGGAGGGGGTTGTTAATCAGTTTTAGTGGCTCGGATGTTGATGAAATCAACAACAAGACAACACTCAAAACAGAAATGGAGGCCATTGGGATTTTTCCAACCTCATCATTTCTGACTGTTGTCAATTCAACTCAACTCAAGTTGAATTGAGGCAACTCAAGGCACTTTATATTGTAAGGTAAAGACCCTACAATAATACATTGAAAACAAAGAAAAACCTATATAATCATATGACCCCTATGAGCAATCGCTTTGGCCAAAGAGGAAAGTATAAACTCCCTTTTAACAGGAAGAAACCTCCGGCAAAACCAGGCTCACTGAGGCGTGGCCATCTGCTGTGACCAGTTCGGATTGAGAGGAGGAAAACAGGACAAAGTCACAAGCCATCGATTAATAATAACCAATGATTAAATGCTGAGTGGTGTATAAACACATAGTGAGTAAAGAAGAAACACTTCATCAGAAGCCCCAACATCCTAGACCTATTGCAGCATAACTAAAGGAGGATTCGGGATCACCTGATCCAGCCCTAACTATAAGCTTTGTCAAAAAGTTTTAAGCTTAATCTTAAAAAATAGAGAGGGTGTCTGTCTCCCGAATCCAAACTGGGAGTTGGTTTCACAGAAGAGGCAACAGCCTGACAGCTGAAGGCTCTGCCTCCCATTCTACTTTTAAATACTCTGGGAACCACAACTAAGCCTGCAGTCTGAGAGCAGAAGTTCTCTATTAAGGTGAAATGGTATTACGAAGTCTTAAAAATCGATTCAAGATTTAAGACCTTGTATGTGATGAGGAGGATTTTAAATCCTCTTTTTTTACTGAGCCAAAAAATATTTTTCCTGGCTGATCCTGTAAATGAGTGAGACACCATTTCCTCTCCAGCCTACGAGTTATCTGCTTTAAGATGCCCGTTTGAAAGTTATACCAGGGAGTCAAGTACTTCCTATTTGAGTCTTTTTTTTTCCAGAGGAGCTAGAGTGTTGTACGGAGTGAAGATGTAAAATTATTAAAAATATAATGACCTCTGTGGGAGTAGCGTTCAGGTAGCTTCCCCTGCTTTACCTGTATCTGCTCCTTTGTGCAAGGAGGAACGGGATGAGCATTGTCAGAGCCCTATAAAATTGTGTGAATGTCTCTTTCATAAGGGTGGCCTGAGGGCCAGACGTCCTCTAGTGGGCCCTCTTGTCACAGTACTGGGCCATGAGGCCCAGGGTTTAAGTTCTAATGCATATTTTTTGTATCCACATGTGTAGTTTAACGCATCTAGTTGTTTTTTTATTTTGCAGTTTAGTCCCTGGTCCGTGTGTCTACCTGTCATGTTTCATGTCTCTGGTTAGGTTAAGTTTATGTTCTATCTCCATGTCTATGTCTCTGTGTTTCCTGTTTCATTTTGAAAGAGTAGGGTGTTCTTTGTTCATTGTAGTTAGTGTTACTCTCCCCTGTATTGTCATTATGTTTCCTTCTAGTCAGCTGTGTTCTCATGTGTCTCCACTTCCCCTGATCACCTCATGAGTGTATTTAAGTCCTCAGTCTTCCTTTGTTTGTGGCCGCGTCGTCTGTTCAACTTCCCCCATGTTACGCCAGGTTTCAGGACTCTGTGCTGCTCATGTTGCTTACGTGTATAGTTCTTTGTTGCTCCAGCACAAAGTCCTGTTCATAGTAGTCTTCCATATGCATCGTTGTCACCCTGTCTTCGCTTTCCCTGCTGTCTGACTTTAGTGTCAGTTCTTAGTTTTCCCAGTTCAGCTTCTAGTTTAGTTTTGCCTCTGTGCTTTCTGTTGTTTGCCATGTTAATCAGCCCAAATAAAGGCTCGCTTTTCGTTTCAAGTTCAGTACTGTCTCCTCGTCTATGTCTGCACCTGGAACCTCACACTCCCACACACGGTCCGCCCGCCGCAGACCGTGACACCTCTGCTCATTCCCTGACACTGTGGAGCCTCATTTGGCATTTGCCATGGAATGCCAAAATTGGCAGGTCCACCCTGTGCTTTTCACAGATGAGAGCAGGTGGGTCAGTGATGCTTTGCGGGAGCTTACCAAAGGAACGCAGAGACCTCTACAGGCTAGGCAACAGCACTCTGACTGCCATTACGTATTTGGATGAGATCCTTAGACAAGCTACAAGCTACAATGAAATTTTAGCAAAATGCACTAACCTTTTACATTTTTTTTTCTTTGATTTTTGGGTGTCTTTGAATTCACCTCTCTATAGGTTAATGATTCTCATTTCCTTGAGATGGAATTTCTTCATTCCTAACACATTACCCATTTAACATTATTATAGATATTAAGCATGCTTTTTTCTTTGGAGATCTGATGTGTGTCCAAAGTGTCCAAAGCCTTACAAATTATCAAGTCTCAGGAATTGTATCAGTTCACAGATTGATGTCTAGAGTTATTCAGTTTCTCTGTCAAGTGAAAAAAAATCAGTAAATCCTAATATTTAAGATGATAGAATCCACAGGTTTTCTGTTGTCTTTTGTTTTTTGTTAAACAATATAACAAATATCAGTTATTAAAGTCTTTATTTGCCATCTCTGCACCAACTGATTAATCAACACTGTTAATCAGTTCTAGTGATTTGTCTGACCTTCATTCTCTTCACAAACCTTTGTGACCCTCTTCGAATACTGCGGCCTGTAGGTGTTGATGAGGATGCCGATGCCACACGGAACAAGGATCAAGACCAACGATAAGATGATTTGAACATATGGGACAGCGTTCCGCACGCTGGGGAAACCCTGGCAGTAGATGTAGAGCAGGAGAGGCATCATACCCATAGCCAACAACGTGGAGCAGGAAGTCATCATGATGCTGAAGGGAAAGACAAGGGTTATGATCACCTCAAATTACATTTTTAATATAAATGTATTACAAGAATATAACTTCCCATGTGTACCTGAGGTTCATGTCCCCCTTTAGTGCCAGAGTCATTGTGTTGGAGTTCTGTCCTCCAGGACAGCAGCCACAGACCAGAACAGTCACAGCTGTTATATCACCGAGCTGAAACCCCTGTAACACAAAATCACAATAACCTCTTACAGGGTGCCAGTAACAAGGTCTAACAGTGATACAAGTGCTGATCTGGTGTCAGTTATATACTGGTACAGCAACACAAATTCAATTATATTGGGCCACTATGTATTATAGGGTGAAGAACGAGAGTACTAAATGACACTGGAAAGAGAAATCAGATTTCCCTCATATTAGCTTCTCTTCATTGGTTACCTGTTAAATTCAGAGTTGAATTTAAAATGATTTTCCTCACATAAAAAATCATGAATAATCAGGCCCCTTTATATCATACAGATCTTTATTACCCCAAATGAGAGCTCTTGTGAAGTATGCCGACAGCATGGAAAAAGAAAATGCTTTTTTTAAAAAAAAAAAAAAAATTGATTTGTTTTAATATTCTTTCTGGTTAAGTCAGTTTATATAGTTTTCTCATTTTTATTATGAATCTCTTCAAAAATTTTGTGGGGAACTAACTTTATATGAAGTATTATTTCTAATCTTATTTAACATAATACCAACCTTAGCCAAGCAAAAGGCTGTAAGAGGCATGATCACATACTGGGACACAACTGCAATAGCCACCCCCTTAGGTTTCATGAGGTGATACTGGAAACAGAAGAAGGTAGAAAACTGATCAGAAATAATATCACTGGATATATAAACACAGTTCAAAATGTTAAAAAGTTCATTTCAATTCAAAAAGGTAAACTTTCAGTTTTCTGTATTCATAGCAATAAGTAGGCAGCACGGTGGCACGGTGGTTAGCACTGTTGCCGCACAGCAAGAAGGTCCTGAGTTCAATTCCAACATTCCAACATCAGGCCGGGGTCTTTCTGTGTGGAGTTTGCAT